TCAGTTCTGAGGAAGGGTCACCGGACCCGAAATATTAACTCTGATTTTTTTCTTCACAGATGCTGCCAGACCTGCTGAGCTTTTCCAGCAAGTTTGTTTTTATTTCTGATTTATAGCATCTGGAGTTCTTTCGGTTTTATAGACCAATCAAGTTTATTTTGTAGAAGCATATTGTCGTCTGGTTTTGATTTAAGAAATCAAGACAGCTTTCTAAATGGTGAATAACTAAGAACTGTGGAGGAGGCAAGAGTTTGGAGCCTATTTAAACAACTAGCTAATGGTTGTCAACAATCATTCACTAATGAGTATGATTGTTCACCTGGGAAATTGCTAATAGATAGCAATCAATAAATATAATTGAATGCTATTCTAACGTGTCAACAGCCTGAAATACAAAAGTGAAGAACTTGCCCTTCAGCCTTGGTCTGATCTTGAGTAGAATTTTCAAGGCTCCAAAGGTTAACTTGAATGTCATGATCTGTGGTAACATGCTTGGTATAATGGGCAGCTTGCCTGGAAGTTTACAGGTTCTGACTCCAGTTTGGCTCAATGGCTGGTGCAGAGCCTGGAATCAAATTTCTCCAGTGTGGAGAGACTGGGCAATTTCATCCAGTTATCTCAAATGTTCAATCTTTTTCTCTCTCTACAGAAAGACTGACTTGCTGCATGTTTCCAGCACTTTGTTTCTATAACTTAAACTCTGAACTTGATTTATCAATCCAAAGTATCTTTAACTGCCAGATTCATAACTTACCGTCAGGTTTGTAAGAGTAACATGGGCTAAAAAATACTTTTCCAAAACAGGACCATTCTTTACCCATGCTGACATAATATACAAAGTGACAACCTTTGGTCACATTCCCAATGTCGTCATGCTGGGATGCTATAAAAGGATGACCACGCATCTATCTCATTGGGAACCAATCACCATAGTCAAAATGGCAATGAAAAGAACTTGTAAGCTCATTAGCAACCCAGTAGGCTGAAATAAAACATTTGGATTCTAATAGTGTTGCCTGTGGGTGGGTAAAAAGACAATTGATTAATTCCATTTTTAATCAGTTTGTTTATCAGGGTAGGCTTGAGTGCAACAGCTGAGATAATGGTAGACTTCAGCAGTTTAGCCTGCTGGTAGATGTGAGTGGTTATGTGTTTTGTGAGAAATTTTGCATTTACTTAGACTTCTGAGAATTGGAAACTTGAAAGTTTCAAGCACCTTTGTGCAAATGTTTTCTCATCTGCACTCAAGGAAAATGGTTCTCTGTGGCAGACACAAAATCCAGTGAGGAGCAGAGGAAAGGGAAATGCAGGTAGAGGAGCTACCTGAAATGATGAAAGTCATTCCAGTTGCACAGTTTAAAGGAGCGGCAGAGAGCAGGACAGTTGCCTCTCTGCCATATGGCAAGTATCTTTAAGGAGAGATAGTGGTTTGCTAACAAATGTTGACCTTATTAATGAGGCCCACATCCCATAATGGAAACTTTAAAAATTACACAGCCAACCGAGTGTAATAAGCCAGAATGACTCACTTGCAAATGTTTAAGATACTGAATCACACACTCTCCAGATTGCTGTAACATCTCTTTGTGATGTGTCAGCTGGGGAGACAGCCTCCATCTGTGCATGTGCACATCTGATACCAGTGACTCTAAAGATGACAATGAACCTGAATTTCTTTGCTAGTGCACCTTTTCAGACAACATGTGGTGACCTGTGATTTCCATCATTTGCTTTACAGGTTTCATTGGTGCAATATTCCAATAAATTGAGCAATTCATTGAGTTTACAATGAACCACAACAGCCTGTTTGAAAGATCTGGAGGGTTCATTGCAATGTCAGCTTCTTCTAGGGTTCAGAGTACATTCACTGTATTCATATCACCATCAAGGAATCAGCAGGCTAGACCTGCACACTCGCCAACAGGAGAGGTTTCTACTTTACAAATCTTGTGTGATGACCAGTTCCAAGACAATTGCCAGCCCTGACCAGGGCAGAAACAGAACACTCTAGTGGTTGCGTCACTGCAGAACACCTCCAGAGTGCTTGCTAGAACATGCAGCTCCTCTGGCTGCATCAACAAACATATCTTGCTAGACATTCAGCATCAGCCACATTACGGCCGTCACTAGAGGCCCGTCCTTTGGTTCAGCATCTGAATCACATCAGCAATCCTCCATCTAATGTGCCTTTTTAAAAAAAATTCACTAACAGAATGTGGGTGTCACAGGCTGCTCATTATTTATTATAGCCTGTCCCTAGTTGCCCTTGAGAAGGCAATGGTGAACTGTCTTGAACTGCTGCAGTCAATGTCCTTTAATTAAAACCATAATGTCCTTAGGGAGGGAATTCCAGGATTTTGACACAATGACACCGAAAGAATAGTAATATTTCCAAGTTAGGATGATGAGTGGCTTGGACAGAACATGCGGATGGTGGTGTTCTCATCTATCTGCTGCCCTTGTCATTCTAGATGGAAGTTGTTGTGGGTGTGGAAGATTCTGTCTAAGGGGCTTGGTGAATTTTGTGAATGCTGATCCATCTCTCTCCCCCTGGCAGATGTGGTGCCCTCACAACTTGTGTGACCCTCTGTTCCAAGTGGCAAAACCCTACTGAGATGCCAGTATCTGAGTTGCTGCTTGGTGCTGAGAAGTGATGTGCCACTGCATCCTCTGAGCTTCATCTGCTGCCACAGAGATTGCATAGTATCTCTCATTGGAGTTGACTGGCAAGGTGTTCAATGATGTAACTGTGTAGGGGACAGAAAGATGGAGGATTATGGTCATATTCCTAACATGTGGCGATTGAGAGAACACGCCGTTGCACAATGGCATCTTTTGAAATCATATTGGAGTTCCTTTGAGTGTTTACATTTCCCAAATTTCATCATGTGCGCACTCTTAAATTCAGAAGCATTAGAACCCTTAACATCACAACTGTACATAGGGTAGCCCGTACAAGTACAGCAACTATTGCACGTCCAGCTCTTGAGTTCCTTAGGAGCTGGCTTTGTCGAGAGCAGATAACGTACTCTTACAATCTCACTGCCCATTGGCTTTCTCCAGTCTCATCTGTGTTAATAATCCTGTTCCAATCATTGGTGAACAGGCTCAAGCACTTCCTCTCAATAGGCATGAGGATGGCCAGGTAAGCCACACTTTGTGGGCCTATTCTCCTGTCATAAAGTAGCATCATATGATAATGTAGATTACCAAGGATGCAAATTCTGTTTTGGTTGTGGACTATGAAAAGTCCACATTGTGCCAGGCATGTACAAAAACAATAGTGTGCCCACACATGCCTCAGGCCCACATCCGTGGCCTGCCTCCTTTTACTTCTAGGAGGCAAGCAGTATAGTCCCAAGATGGCTTTTGAAGCAGACAAAGCTATAACAGCTGCCTCTTTAAAAACAGCAAGCTGCCACTTATAAAATATTTAATGTGAGTATAGAAAGCAGGTCGTCACAAACCTAAAATGTTGATTCTGTTTCACTTCCCACAGTTGCTGCCAGATTTTCTGCATATTCCCAGCATTTTTTGTTTTTATTTCGGTTCTGCAGTATTTTGCTTTTGGATTGGAGATTAAATAAATCTGTTGTGACTGCGTACAAACATTCTAATCCACTGAACATAATGATGAGGCTGAAGTATTGAATTTCATTGTTTTCAGAACATTGAATACTTTGTCCACAGCAAAATAAATTAGTAAATTCTATAAGGCCCATTATTTTACTTTAGACACAATGGTGCATTCTCATGTTGCAATATCAAAACGATGAAAATTTTGACCCAAATTATTAGAGCAAAGAAAGAACAGATTTTAGGATCAGTATGATTCTAAATTGCACATTATCATTAACCTATGATATACATGACACTGCATGGTTTATTGTAAACAGTGTGAACAGTTTCCATTTGCACAGCAATCTGCTTTCATCCAGTGTAATGCAATGTAAAGCGCAATGGTGTTGTCTTGCTTACTAGCCTGAATAGAGTTTAATTAGTGAGGAAAACAGGTAAAATGCACTTATTTCGTACAATGGAAATGAATTTTGATTGTCAATCTTACCAAGCATTGGATACTCGCTGTTTCAATTATTTTTGTAACACTTGCATCATGAGCTGTATGTGAACTGTTTGTGTGACTAATTTTTAATGGGTCCTAAGGAAAGGCAATGAAAGATTCCTTTCTCTGGATGTAAAAATTTGAATTAAAAGAGCAGCCAGCTGTATGATTAATGGTGATATATTTTCTCCTGTTTTTCTGTTAAGCATGAGCAGATTGCTCTGGATGCAAACAGGTATTTTGTTCATATGGATGTGTCATTTAAAAAATTGGATGACTGGCATTAATTGTGCAATTTTTGTGTCTTTAAATCATAAGGACCATTCTACTAGAATCTGATGGACACCCTAAAATTATTACCATTATACAAGCATTTACACGGTGTTTTGTTCAAGCCCTGCTACAGATGCAACCTCAGGTGAGGTCTTCAATTTCTAAATGAAAAGAGCAGTCTGGTTTTTGAAAGCGATTTATGAATTTACTTGCAGACAGTACTCATAAGTACAAAATCTGGAACTTTAACAATCTCTTTAATGTGCAGTTCCCACCATCATTACTTATGTCACTGGATCCTGAACTTGTATCTTATACAACATTGTTTTCTGTTTCCCTTGCTCAACCTGTTCCTGAACAATTTTCTCCTGACCACTGATCTTGTCCTTTTTCACACCCATGTTAGGTGTTATTTTGAACAGCTCTTTCTTCTCATTGTCACCATTAAATCCTCCATTCTCACCCCTCTTGTATGAATATACAAATTAGGAGCAGGAACAGGACTAGCCAGCTGTAACCTGTACCACCATGCAGTAAGATTATGGCTGATCTGATTACTCCACATTCCTGCCTACACCTGATAGATTCTTGACAAGCAAGGGATAAAAAGTTATCTACTTCTGCCTTCACTTGCTGCAGCATTACAATGATAGGTGCAGCAGTGAAGTGCAGAATTTCCCTGTAAATAAATCAGAAATATGCTGTGAGGGCTCCTAGAGACTGTCACATGCCTGGTGCCCATGTTGTGGACATGGAGTGTGTGACTGGTATCCATGGAGGTTGCCCTGAGTTATTGGTACCTGATTTCCAATATGGAGGTTGTTCAGAACAAGTGGCAAGCTGAATCCGCCAGGTGCTCACCCTGGTTTCCTTATCAAGTTTTCCCAAAGTCTGGATTGTTTGGTGAATTCAGTAATATGGGAGTCTGACTATTAATAATGAGTTGTGATGTTAGCAAGGTACTTAACAAGTGTTAATCCCCATCAATTGGTATCTTGCCACGTTACTTGTGAAAAGCATAAAGAATGGTGCAAGTTGCTCCTGATGTCATGATAGACCTCACCACACAAGCTGTATGGCCATGTACTATGTCAAATTTCATGCCGTACATCAGAACCTTATATAGCGAACGTGCTGTACGTGCTTCAAGCAATGTGGCAATGTCTCAAAGTCAAAGGTGAGCAGTCCTTGGACAAGACAATGGGGGCTGCTGTCAGGCCAGGGGTCATGATCCAATGAGTCAACACCGTCATCTGATCTCAGTACACAGGCATTAAATGGTCTATTGGCTGCTTGGGGTAGGTCAGGCGATCCGTTCCACTCCAATCCAGGATGGACTGCAGATGTAGTGCTAAGAGTCTGGGGGTTCCTGGTATGTCAGTCAGGAATCTTTGGACCATACTGTCCATCGAATCAAGACAGTGGAGTGTGTCATGGTCGGTAGAATGAAAGTCAAGATAGGGTTATCGGGGCCACTGATGTGATAGGGAAGTGGAGGAATTTGATGCTGAGGATTGGAGACAACAATCTGGGATGGAGAAGGGATGAGGATGGTGAAAGGAGGAAATGTCCTGGGTTGGCTCGGGAGGGAACAATAGTGTATAAACATGGGATACTGCAGGAGGGAGGGTTGTTAGTGTCACCACCACTGTGGCCTCAATGGGGCAGGTGGAGGAAGGTTGTGGAGCATTCTGGTGAGCGTAATTAAACTGTATGGCACACAGGGTAATGATGAGAACTACAGGCATAATTCTAGATGGCGTGTGGAAATGTGGAGGATCAGCACTAATGGAGTTGATAGAGAGTGCCAGGATGAAAGGGCACAGGAGGTCCTGGGCAACCCCTTGATAACCAGGCTAAGCTTGTGACTCACTGTTCCAACCATACATAATATTTCCTACTATATTCAATTGACTTAAAATAAAAAACACAAATGGGTAATACTTGCAGAGAGAGTCAGTGTTTTTTTCTGTCCTGACTCAGCACATAGATTCTCCTTGCGACTAACATGAGGTCCTGCATGAAACAGGTGTATCAGGGTACTTTAACAGGATAGGTTGCATTTATCTGCAACCATGTCATTGTGCATGTGCTATGTTCATTTGTGTGGGGTGCAATGATGGTCACAAGCAACCTTGTCCATCTCATTGGTCATTGCAGATTGACAATTGTCATCTCAGAAAACTGAAATAATCACAGGCAACTTTACAAGTGGCACCTGTGGGCCACAAAGCACAAACTTAATGAATTATCTCAAATTGCAGAGGGGCTCAGAGCTGATTCCCTCCCACCTTGAACTGTAAGTGTACTCCAACATGTACTTCTATGCAATTACGCCTTTCTTTGATATGAGGCTGGGAGAACAAGGTCTGTTTCGATACAGCACTGACAATCTCCTGTTGTCTCTTTGAGATATGACTTGCTACAGCATTCATTGGAATAAGGTCCTCTGTCAAAGTTGCATGTAGAGGCATTCAACGGCCCCCCTCATTAGAGTGCTCCATGTCCCACTAAATGGGGGAGTATGCTAAGCAATCTTTGAGAATGAGGTGAAGGCTGAAAGCTCACGTTGCTCAGGACGTGGTCTGTTTCTTATGTCCCCTACACAAAGTCATTGGAAGCATAACTGGAGTGCAATGGAGTGCAGAGAAATGAAAGGTGAGTAGATGCTTCAGCAGACCCAGGGCCAGCATCGATCTCAAGCAGATGCCAAACAGCTTCACATGTAGAAATCATAGATGAAGTTTCTTCAGGATGCACAGGAGGTATAGGACTGCGACTGTCTCATCGTTAAAGCCATTTCTGCCAGATGAGCAAGGCACAGTGTCACTGCAGACCGAGAATGTCCCAAGACAATCACAGAACCATGCCAGCAGCTAGAGCCTGATCTACAATATGGAATGTGTGACCATCCTATCTCTCTGGCTGTTAAGATGAACTTTTATGCAACTAGCTATTTCGATGGATCTACTAGGGATCTGTGCGAAGTCTCAAATGTACAGACATATTAAGGCTGTTCCTTATACAACACTGCTTCAACTATTTTCAGTCGTGGTGACACCATCAGTTCTGCAGCCAGGGAGTAGGCTTTGCCAACATGGGTGGCTTTCCCCAGCTGTAGGGTGCAATAGACTGCACTCAGATTGAAATGGCCTTTTCATAATGTGGCTGATTTGATCTTCAGAAAGAGTTCCATTCCATCAGTGAATAAGTTATCTCTGATCGTTGATACCACGTCTTAGAAGTTTGCACAGCTACCTTGGGTGCTGCCATGATGCCTATATCCTTGAGAACTCTCATGTTCTTGCTGCGATTCAATGCCAAATGCTTTACAAGGATGATTACTGGGGGACAAGGCTTCCTTCTGCACCCATGGCTGATGACTTTGAACAGCCTCTTGGCTAAAGCGGAGTGTAGATAGAATGCAATCTATTCTTCAACCAGGACCATGATGGAACAGACAACAGGCCTTTTGAAGGTGAGATTCTGCTGCTTGGATTGGTTGGGGTAATGAGTGCTCGCACTACATCCCAATCAGAGGGTACTGCATAATTCCAGCATGTTATCTTCTGGACAACTGGAGCAGGCAATGAGGGGATGTGATGGAGTTGAAGAGCTGGGAGAGCAGGAGCAGTCCTCTGAGGAGAAAAACAAGAATATTGAACAGGAGAGACATGACCTTCTGCATGATGTAGCACAGCAGCAGTGGGCACTAAATGCCGCACAGTACCTAATTGACATCAGTTTCAGTAAATGAGAGCTGGGTGTGGTGATCATTCAGTGACTGTAAAATTGTTGTTGCTCCGAAAGGCTAACAGTGCATTTGTTTCTGAGACAAATGCAGCTTCTGTTTGTGTTTTGATTGCTTTTGCTGAATAGAAGTGAATGGTTTGATGTGTTTGAAGGCTTTCCTATATATAGTTGTAGGTCAGCTGTCTTTTGGATCCATTTTAAAACAATATCCTGGCTCATTTCAAGTTTTCTGTTAAACAAAAATCTCAATTATTAAATCGGTTGATGGAATTAAGATTAATACTGCATATAACTTCATAAAATCATACTTAGTGCATAGATTTAGTCTGATATCATTCATTTAGTTTCTTTTTTAATCTATTTGTTTATGTTCTGTCCAGATTCCATTGAAGCTCTACTTTCCATCTGTTAACCAATCTCTTGTGATGGTGCTACTGGTGCATCCATCAGGTAAGTTGGTTTCTTTTGAAAAATCTTCTGAATATTTTCATAATTAAGTTTTTTAACAGTTATCCAGTCATTACACATATTCTAATAAGGATAAAACAGAATATTTTCTCAGAAGTTTAGCATTCTTTGACATATTCTGAACTATTTCAACGAAAGACTTATTTATTTATGATTCTATGGAAAATCTTGACAACCTTCAATCTCTTCAGGATAGGCAATGAAGATGTGAGTACCTGTTCCATAAGTAGGCTGGGTGGATTAGCCATGGTAAATGCAGGGTTATGGGGATGGAGTGGGGGTATGGGTCAGGGTGGAATGCTGTTCAGAGGGTTGGTGCAGACTCGATGGGCTGAACAGCTTCTATCTGCATCATTGGGATTCTATGAAGTGGAACATGGGAAACAGGTCAAATTGTGACTATGACCATCCTGAGATATCTTTCTGTGGTGGCATCAATCACTTCGTACTGCAGCTATTAAATGAATGATTAACCTCCACATTGGTCAGCAGAAGCTTCCCCAACTATACAGATTTTAAAACAATCATAATCATACCTATAACAATGCAACCGCATAAAGGAATTATAAGGTTGCAAATAGAACATACAAAGTAGGTTTCAAATACAGCTTCTGACAGTAATCTGGTGTATTGGATTACCTGCTGTTACCACTTGCTTCTTTGGCCCTCCATGTTGGACATCCGACACACACTTTTCAGGGTATGCTCCATGGGCAATGACTGTGCACACCTGCTATCCACAGACGTTGCCATCCAAAATGTGCCAGCCTCAACACATCCTCCTGGAAGATCTCTGATCCATGTGTAAGTGTGTTAGCTCCGAGAGAGCAAGTGAGGATACCCAAGATGCCACCTGGTCAAATCCACGATCCATGTGAAAGACAGATCTGTACTTCAATGCTGCACTTGGAATGCACCTTTCATTATAATGCTGCAGCTAGGACACTTTGCATACAGGTACAAGCATCAATCTCGTGCATCTCCGGTATCCTCACTTGTTGTCTCAGTTCTCACTCACTTTGCACTTGTTTGGATGCTTACAGCATCTTTTCCTTGCATTGCCTTTTTTTGCTTTGCCTCTTCACCCACAGCTTAAATGCTTATAGTGCTTTGTATAGATTTGCCTTTTAGTGCAGATACTAAGCCAAACAGCTTTGTCATCAGCCAAGTGGGTAGATATGTTGCTAAATGACACAACATGACATCACTTCTGCACCTGCACCATGTGCCAGCTGTGTATGTGGCAAAGACACTGCATGTGCATCAACCAATTGGCAATGTCTCCAGGTCTAAAGTGAGTTGCCCTTGGTCAAGTCAAGGGAGATATCCTTCAGTTTGGGGTCCAGCACAGTTAAGTCGAGGGCAACCTCTGCTATCGGTCCAGGGGCTTGGGCACAGTCGGTTGGCTGCATGGGTGGTTGAGGGGAATGAATGTGTCTGTGTGTACTGTATGTCTACAGCTGAGGCAGTGGGCCACAATTAGCCCTGTGAGTCCAATACAAACAACTTGGGGAGTTGTGGGAAGTCAAAAGCCACACAGAGATAATTTAGGAATCTGGTCACTTATCCCATGGGGCTATCTATCCAAGTTGGTCAAGAGAGTGGGCTATGGTCAATCCTGGATGACTGTCAATAAAAGTCAAGGATGGTGTCGGGGAACACTACTGTGGGAGGGATTCTGGTGAACTCATTTATGGGTATTGGAGGCAGTATGCAGTGATGCAGATGAGATAATAGTTGTGAAGAGGGAAATTCAACATATCAGGAGCATAAAGTCAATAGAGCATGGGGGCAAAAGGGATCATGAGGAAGGGACTGCAATCAGGGAGTAATGCAGTCAGTAACACTCTGGCTTCTCATTGGAGGGGTGGGTGCAATCCATCTGGCATAATGAATCAACATGCTTGAGGTCCAGGGGTAAAGTGGGGAGATGAGCAATTAGATGGTCACATTGGTTGGAAATATGGAGAAAGTTCAAAGCCAATGCAGTTGATGGGAGGGCTACCAAGGATGGGAAGTGTACATTTGGAGGTTCATCAAGTGTGAGACGCTCAGTCTGAGGCTCCCTGCATGAAGCATGACTGCTGTTCCCTTCCATTGTGCTGCGAGTAACAAGTGAGCAGTGGAGCTGAAATTGGCTGCCCCGTGTTTAGAATGAGATTGGGCGTTTCACTTTTTACCAATGTGAGGCCCTAGAGCAGTATTTCTCAGGTACCCATACAGCACAGGTGGAAAAAACATCTATATGTGAACCTTAGGAAATAATCTAGTGTGTGGATTCAAAATCCTGGTCCCAAGCAGTCTTGACCATATTATGTAGCATCAGGAATCAGTTCCACTAATGGCTGTGAAACACCAGCAATGTTGTAAGGCCTGGAAAGATCCACTGCAGTTATCAAAGTTGAAAATTCAAATTCCCATAGCCGGCACATGGTACAGCTACTCATTTCTCACCCCTGATTATGGAATCTCCACCAGCATTCAGGATGGCTAATTGCGACCAGAAAGACATTCGTTGTCATGGCCAATGATGAAAATGAATATATGTTAACAAATGTGAGTTTATATTTACTATGAAGTGCCAGCCATTCCATCCATGCGCCCTTAGAAGGTGGTCATCATCTTTTTCCTCCCACGAGCAGGTCCAGCCCAGGGTTCCATAGTTGGGGTGGAAGGAGCCTGCCCTATGGCTTTGGAGTTTTGGTTGGGTGAGCTCAGCATTGTTTGTGTCTTTAGGGCCTAGACATGCTCTGTGTGTGTGTCCTGCCCAGGGCTGAGGGTGGCAGGCAGTACAGAGATAGAAAGCCTGGCTATCTATTTCATGCCCTGAGAGGTGACTTCTAGAGAGGCCTGTATTTGGTTCCTCCATCGAATGGGTATCTGTTGGCACTGCTATGTCTCCTTGTGAGGAAGGGGGACCTGGGGTGGCGTCAAGGTCCCCCATTCATGTCATCTTGTGCTGAGAAGACGATGGAGTTCAGGACTGTGTTATATATCCAGCAGACACTGAAGGTTGTGGACCTGTCTGTCCATGGTAGCCTCCGATCTTTCCAAAGTGGAAGCAGCCAGATGTTTGCATGCCAGAGGCAACATGGTGCAAACAGCAATGATTCAGTCCTACAAGCTTTTCAGTCAGTTTACCCAGTGCGTCCAACAAACCTGCCTGCTGCTTCTGTGTCTGCTTGTGCATTTCAGTGAAGTTGTTAATTTCTGACACCATAGAATTTTTTTGTTTTATTCATTAATGGGATGAGGGCGTCTCTGACCAGGCAGCGTTTATTGTCCATCCCTAATTGCCCAGAGGGCAGTTCAGAGTCAACCACATTGCTGTGGGTCTAGAATCACATGTAGGCCAGACCAGGTAAGGATGGCAGTTTCCTTCCCTAAAGGACATAAGTGAACTGGATGTGTTTTTCCAACAATCAACAATGGATTCATGGTCATCATTAGATTCTTAATTCCAGATATTTTATTGAATTCAAATTCCACCATTTGCTGTGGCAGGATTCAAACCCAAGTCCCCAGAATGATATCTGGGTCTCTGGATTAACAGTCCAGCGATAACACCACTAGGCCATTGCCTCCCCAGCTCCTGCCTGGGGCTGAGCAGGTTCCTGTTCTCTGAAAGTCCGCTGAGAGTCACTGGCTTGTGGCATATGTTCCTCAGCCAGCTGCGGAGCTTTTGCAGTGAAGTGTGCTCCTGATTCTAATTTAGTTAAAATACCCACTGAGGTGTCAGTATCTGAGCTGTTGGAGATGCAGGAGGCAGCCTTGCCTGTGCCTTCTTTGAGGGATCTGTGGCTTCTTCCTCACGGGTGGAGGAGCGATGACTTGCAGGGCAATTCTCTTGGCCACCAAGACCTTGCAGGAGACAAGACAGTGCAGACAACGTGAACAAGGGATCAAAGTTCAGGCATGTTAAGAATACCTTCAGAGAGTGGTAATGGGAGAGCAGCACCATGATGGACAACGGTTCTTATGTTGCGGTCTTCACCGGCCAGAGCCAGGATGTCAGGCATCCCATCAACCATCCTGGCTTTCTTCAACCCACTTGGGGCCATTTTCTTCTGGAAAGTGACAAAGGAAGGCACTGAGATGAAACTGGCCGATACAGCTGCTAATGTTAGTGCAGATGGGGGAATGGTAATGATATGTCTTGAGTGAGTGAGTAAGTAGTGGAGAGGCCATGCAGAATTAGTGGTCTAGAGGATTGGGTGGACGAGAGTGAATGAGGGAAGATGCTGCATACAATGGTGAGAGTGATAGACCATGGGCCCTGGTGAAAGATGGGTGCAGTAGCAGAGATTGAATGAGTATGAGGTACCAGAGAGAAGATGGTGGCACTTACCCTTGCAGAAGGGGCAAGTTGTTGGCCGCCTTGTGGTATTGCTGCACATTCCTCTGGGTCATGGATATCGCATTGATCCAATGGCAGCCTGGGATCAAGCAGACAGGGTGTGTTGTTGTGGGTTCATTTGCAGGATGGCTTTCCTCTGCACCACTCTGTCCTCCAAAACCTCCATGTCCGTGTCTACAAAGTGGGGTGCTAATTTTTCTTTGTCTGCAGTGTCTGGACCAAATGAAACAACCACACAGAGCAGCCTTGGACTGCCAGCATTTGACCGGGTGCACTGCTGGGCTTTAGATATGATGTCAATGCCAGGGATATCAGGATGTCTGGTGCCTACAGCAAATAGGAGAATATGACAAATGGGGCACCATAGGGGTGTTTGAGGCAATGGGGCAATTCGAGGAAGATAGTGTGAGAAAACTCAATAGACTTCACAGTGAGAAACTATTAATGAAATCTCCAAAATTGGCACTTAGCTGATTTCTGCCCCTAGTCTTTCTTTATCCTCCTCTTCACTTTATAAGACCTCTTTCTCTCTAAGAAACTGAGAAAGAGACTGAGAATTGTAAGCTGTAACACTTTACCTTTATGTGTATCAAATTTTTTTGTGTGAGATAAGTGAATAAAATGG